GATTCCATGTACTAAAACGATAAACAATATAAAACCCGGTTTTCAATCTAATAAAATAAGGAAAGGTATAAAGAAACTTACAGGAGGCTCTTCATGGTGAGGATGACCCTTGGAAAGGTTAGCGACTGCAAGAATAGTGCAAGTTGCTATACCTAGATATGTTATTTTCTCCCAATTCGAAGCCTTGGCTACATTAACACGAGCACCAAAAACTTTTAAAAATAATTAACATATACCTAAAATCAGGAAAATCAATTTTTTATCGCATCCAGTAGTTTAATGGCCAATACAATCATAAAAAACAATCCTTTAAACTGTGTACAGGCTATGTAAATCTGAAATGTAATGATAACCTAGACAGGGAATACCCGAAAAATTCTAAAATAATTTAAAATAATAAAATCTTGAAAATCAATTTTCAATCGCATCCGTCATAACTGGAATGTTATTTCAATTTATTAATACCACATCGTGAAGAGGCACTGGAGTCTGAAAAACCCCACTCCGACGTGACGGAGTTGGCTTGAAGAACAATTGATTGGTAGATTCTTGGAGTTGGAGAGTTGAATGGTTTTTGAGATTCAGAGCGGGAAGGAGAGGGTTCGTGTGATTGATTCGGACCATTCGGTGAGTGTTCAGTAGGTTATAATTGGGCCTCCAGAGTTGGGCCTATTCTGAAATACAAAAAAAATTAAAAAATATTGGGCCAGAAAATGAGGCCCCCTCCACGTTTGGGCTTGAGGCGGCGGCCTCATTCGCCTCGCTTCAGGACCGGGCCTGAGCATTTTTACAATTGTGTTTGAATATATTTATCATGCTTTATTGAATATGATTAGATGGGGAAAAAAAAAACAATCTTTGATCATATCATTTGGCTCCCCTTATCGGATTTTATTTTATTCAATTTAATATATTAAATTTATAAGAAAGGCAAGAAGAGAACAATCATATTGTACCGACAAAGTTTTATAACAATTTTTGATATTTTTTTTTATCTTGTTTTAAATTAATTTTTTTTTTTTTATCACAAGTATATATGTTGGCTTTGTCGATTTTATTTTATTTTGTCCGAGTACAAGACAACATAAGAGAATCAACTTATTAATTATAAACAACTCGTGCTTTCGCAAGGGTCATTGTTGTTTTTGTTTATATCAATCTTGTTCAGTTCGAGTTCCCTAATGGTCAATGAAGTGAGTATCGGACCATAAACTTTAGAGTTTTTGGGATTAGTCGAGGTGCACATATATAAACTGGTTTGAACACCTACGGTTATGAAAAAAAATTTATATCACCCTTGTATAAATCTTCTATGTATGGATAAATATACTATATACTTAAAGATCAGTTTCCATAATATTCTATTTTTTATTGTGTAGCTGTAATTAACAACTTTGTTGAAGTCAAGATAATTATGGGTATTCAACAATTTTGTTCACTTTTGTTCAGTGAGGAAAATTTATATTAAAAAAAAAAAACCAAAAATTCAAGTTTTACTAGAAAAAAAATGTAATCCGAAATAATCTCCTTCACAAATAAAATTGTTTATTACCACAAACTATTTGACATTGAAAGCTAATTA